AGATGGCATGCACGTATGATGAATCATGGTCCCACCAAAGCTGGATAGTGCTAAAATTTTGGACTTGTTAGAAATTACCCTTTCTCCCCCAACTTATGACCCAGTGCTCTTCCCAGTCGACCTGAGTTTCTGGTCCTCTAAGTACAATAATTTTATCTTTCCTCTTGGCCCAATGTCTATTACTCTAGGGATTTTGAGCCTTAGTAAATCTTCCGCCTTTGGCCGACACTATCTTTCCTGGTATTTTGATTTCCAATGTTGCCCCCCAATTTGACAAAAAGATAGCTGAATCTTATTCAAGCATGCAAGGCCTTTATAATGCTTCTATTTCTGAGCCTACCCCTGCTGAGCGTGTTACTTTCCTTTAAGTTTGGCTTTGTAAATATATTCTTTGTGTCCCCAGCCTGAAACCCTCTTTGAGTTATTTGCCCCTGTCGCATGAATTAGCACGTGGCAGACCTTTTCAATTTGTGCTCATTCTTTTTGGCCGCCTTTTATAGAGGCATGGCTTCCCTTCAATTCCAATTGCAGAATGGTGCGTCTCCTACTGGTAGTGGGCCCCTTTGGCTTGCTCAATTGTGGTTGAGAGCCTATTTTCCCCAACTTGGTGCTCTACCGTCTCCCCCTCAAACAGTTAGCTGTTACGGGCTATTCATTCATCAAATGAGCCCTGTAAATATGTCTAGTAGGGACGTTTTCATATTTTCTTATACTTTGAATTCAACGCCTTCTTTCTTTCCCTTTTCTCCACATCAAATTCCTTCATACGTACGGCCTCCTACTACCTTAGTCGAAGTGAGCACCTCTTTACCTATTTAGTTCCAGTTTTTGGTTGGAAGAGAATTGTTCTATGACATTGTCACAGGAACAAATGCCAAAGCAAGGGTTGAGATATATGCTCCCCAATTCTTTGCTCGCCAACTTGGTTTTGGCTAGACATGGCCTGTCCCTCCTTATTACTCTAAAAGTTTGGCCGAGCGTTTCCATATTATCAGCAAAATTGAAGCCCAAGCCATTGACATTTGTAATAAACGTTTAACCGAAGGTTTCTCCTTAACCCCTTTCAGTTCTACCACTGTTACACATCCTCTTTTTGAACAACTTTGGTCATCAGTGAAACGTAGACTATTTATAACTGATGCTAATCGCGCTTTCCATTAACTGGATCGGTCAAACACTTCCTCTGCCTCTCCTATTTTGGCCGCCCCTGTGTCCATTAGGAGTCCTTCCTTACCAACTCACGTTAAACGTTCTATTCCTCTGTCTTCTTCTCCTTCTGCTCAAACCATCACATCCAAAGGCACCTCTAGCCGCAAATGGCCAGCCTCAGTATCCCTCATTTTACAAGATGATGATGATGATGATGCTCCTCTCATTCTTAGGAGAAAGGTAATTGAGTCTATTTATTCACAAACATACTTACCTATGTACTAATGGTTTACCTGAATTCCTCATAAAAGTTCAGCCTCCCCTTCGAAGGCTCTAGTTTTGGCAGGTCCTGCTTCATTGCCTTTTGCAGAGGTTGATTAATCCAAATCAGCTGATGGAGGGACTGTGCTCAAAGACAAACCCCTAGTCCCAGAATCTTCATTGAAACCAGCAGCAAAATCACAGCCAGTAGAACACCATCTATTTCCCAGGTCGTCGACCCCCCAGTGTTGAACCGGAAGGTAATACATATTCTAATGTGTTAACTTTGCTTGTGCTTCTGGTTTTTACTCGTTTATTCTTGAAATATGCAGAGGCTCCTATGGAGTTGCTGGTTGTGGCAGAGTCTTCCAGTCCAGACAAGGGTAAATCTCCATAGGTGGTGGAGGCAACTGCTGACGTTCCTGAATTCCCCAGGATTGATGATACAGTAGCCTTTTAACTCACTTTCATCTTCACTTTGCTCGTCATGGCTCAGTAACCTTTTAACTCACTTTCATCTTCACTTTGCTCGTCATGGCGAATGTCTTTATTATTGGCTTCTTTCTTTGCAGGGTGTTGATGACATTGTGCGCTCTATCCAAGACTTATTCACTTCCTAGGAATAAGTAAAGACATATCGCCCTACTTCAACCAGTCATTCTTCTACTTCATCTTCCACTTTTTCAAAAGAAAAATAAAGTCTCTGAAGCAGTCAATATTCGAGTACGTCTTTCATGGACATGGAAATTGGCTAGGCTAGCGCTGTTAAATAGAAGGATAAGTTTGAACTGTTGAGTGCAGAGTTGACGCAAGCACTTACGCTCCCTTCGCTCAACGTTTCTGCCGACTTTAAAGCGACATTAAGGGTTGTCCACTCTGATATCCTTTCCTTATTGGCCAAGCATGCAGACTTAAAGGCCAGGAGTACTAAATATCTTCGTGCTTCATCTGAAAGGGAATTTTTGCTGTTGGAGATTAAAATGGTTGAGGAAGAATTAAAAGAAATCTCTTCTGAAGTTATGGTCGAAGATTCTCTAATGGTAAACTTGGTTGCAGAGATGAAAGAGCTTCAGGCGAAGATGAGGGACTGTAAGGCAAGGATAGCTTCCAAAAAGCACAATGCTTCTTAGGGAATTGAGCGAGCCAATGCTTTGGTTGAGTAGTACAAAAAATTGGACGTTGACGACGATTTTGTAACCGAGCTGGACATTGCTTCTTCTCAGCAGAGTGAGGATTGGGGAAAACTTTGAGAAAAAATAAGTTCGGCTTGGGGCGAACTATAGTTAAGACATCCAGTACCTTAATTGTCTTCATGGAATTTC